CTTGTAGAATCTTACCTTTGGTATCCCAGATCTTTAGGCTACCCTGTCCTATTTTCACTTCTCAACTCCAGAGTCAAATGATCATTTTTGGTTTTCCTTCTTATCTGCACAAAAATAAGTTTCTTTTTAATCTCTTGCAATTAGCTGATGAAAAATATTCTAAATAATAGGGTTTTTAAAAATCTTATATCTAAATTAATGCCCACTAGACAATGTCTTGTTTTCCTCTAATGGTAAGCTATATCTTCACACAACTGAATCACATATTTTTCATTTCTTGTATTAACATTTTATTGAGGATTCCAATAACTTCACTATACTTTTTACGCCATAAAATTTTAGGGTTTCCTAAAAGAATGTTTTCCCAATGCCTTTTAGAGTTGGTTTTTGAGCATCACCCCTTGACTCAGCTCAAAATTCCTTTATTTTTGCATTAATGGAGCTCATTTCCTCAAACACTGAACACATCTGCATTTTAAAAAACAACTATGATGGATTTTAATGACATCTTAAAAAAAGTCTCATTTTTATGCAGAAACTTCTTGGGTCCTCATCCCAGTGGTCTAAGTTTAACTCCCACAATTTATAATTCTCATTTGGGATAGAGATAGCTTATCATCTGTTCTACATCAAAACATGCTCTCCAGAAGAAATCGGATACTATTCTATCAAAGTGTGAATTTAAGTTACCTTTTCTAGGGACCTGAGTACTTGCACAAGAGCCTTATCTCTAATTGCAAAGTGACACTCTTAAGAATATTTAAAAGAAACTATTGTTCAAAGCAGATGGAATGAGAAGGCCCTTCCCATGTAGGATTTACATGCCAGCTGAACAGACCCCAAACTATCACTGTACTCAGGGAGGCAAAGTTGGTATTAACATACTTTATTTATGAATATACCTTATTCACGAACCAGTATTTTAGAATGTTTTCCTTGAAACTATGGTTCCATTTCTGGCTTCCTTGCTTCTTCACAGTGCCAATCTAGGTCAACAGGAGTAAGTGAGACCATTGTTCCATATCCTGCTTAAAAAGAGAACACTACTTCAAAGACAAGAACACTACTACCTGAAAAAAATAAAACAAGTTATCAGTTTTAAAACATTGTGCTTAGATGTTCCTGTTAATCTTAACTTTTTCATGGATTTAAGTTATTTTAGGACACCTATTTTGGGGAATTATATTTTATGTCTAGTGTAAAAAAGGCCAGCTAAATAAAAAATATATATAATTCATTTCCAAAAATTTCTTCTTTTTTGATAGTAGGAAAAACTGCAATTTTCTGAGTTGTCCCCTCCTATCCTCTGCCAAAAGTGGAACCAAAACTTAAAAATATGGAGTTAATTCCATGAGCAAACAAAAATGAGATTTTATCCCAGTTCCTTTAAAGGGTACTTAAGGTCTTTTCATCTAAAATAGATAAAACAAACCATTTAAAGAAAACCAAACCTATTCTCTATACTGTACCTTTTAGCTACACTACCTCATAAAATTTTTCTTTTGCTAATTGCACTTAGTGTTTATACGATTAAACCTGTTGCATTCCTTAACAGTCACCCTGGTTCACAAATTGTCAGGTAATAATATGAAATCATTTGTTTATGAAACAGAGAGGCCACATAAGTGTTTTATTCAAAATTGTATTTTATATATAATTCTAACTACTTTACTATTTATATTTCTGAAATTTATAATATCTATCAAGCGGTTCTCATCCTTCATGTGGACCATAGGCCAGAGTTGACTAGTTAAGGATCCTTGTAATATGACTTATGAGGCAGAATCGGATCAAATTCTCATATCTTTGATCCAATCCTTTTTGTCCCTTGAAAATAGAGCTGAATACAAGAAACAAAGTTGGGTATGTAATTTTCTCTGTATTCGCTTAGTATATGTTAATTGAGGATCATCTTATACCAAACACTGCACAGTGCTAGTTCTGAGAAAACAATGATAAATAGGACATAATTCCTGCCCTTAAAAAGATCATAGTTTGGTGGAAAAGACAGATTTAATTTCAGAACTGAATACACAAATATTTACAAACTGTGTTAAGAAGGAAATATGCAAGGTGTTAACAAAGGAATTCATGCTTGGAAAGAGCAGTTTTGGAAGGACGAGGAAGAACCAGCTATGCAAAAACTAAATAGGGTGCGGCATTTTCTCCTCACCTTATCACCGCCTTCCCAACGTGAAAATTTAACTTTCCAACTGGATACAGTGGCCAAAGAATATGGTATTCCACTTTACTGGTGATATATTTTCACACATAGTACAGTTATATATGTGCTTTTAAAAATGTGTACAGTGTAGTTATGGCAAAGGACAGAAATAAATGCATCGTCTAACAACTATCAAAATACTGTCCAGAGAAATTTTTAACAGTGTGAATCAATACAGTTCACACAAGGGTTCTTTCCCATGAGAGGATTTCATTGTGAGTCTTAGTACCAGGACTACGGATTTCACAGGCAGGAAATAGAACACACAATCTTTAATATGAACACATAATCTCGACTTCGAGGAGATACATCACGATCTTCAAATGAGAAACAAGCATGACATGTTAAGAACTTTTGCCAAGATGGTCTAATTTTCACAGGTGTTCATGAGATCTTTGCAGTTCTAACATCTGGGATCCAATGCCTCCTGTCCAAATCTCCCCTTCATGGAGAGACAGGGTGCCGAATGTAAACTGTCTGAAGGCTTAGCCACTAGAGGGAGAAAGTGTGCCTCTGGCGACTGGGGAGCCAATAAAAGTCAACTCATGGAAAGGATAGGCTTTAGGGAGCTAAATTAAGCTCTAATCAACCACGAGTGAGAACTATTATCAACTCTGGTAGCTTTGGGGAACTTAAAGATGTGCTTTTAAGACTTCAGAATGGATTCTCTTTTAGCAAAGATTTGAATTGTTTGAACTATAAAGATATTTTATCTCAATTTTGAACATGTTTTAATTGCTCTTTTTTAAGGCGCTCCATAACTTTACAGGTATTTGAACGGTTAGATTCAGTTTCTAGGAAGGACTTGTGACAACTTAGTATGCTATCCTTTATATGTTAGGTATTTAGCTATTATGAACAGCACCCCAATTTTCTGAGGTAATTTAAGATTGAAATCTTTGCTGTCCATTGGAATGATTAGAATGACTTATGGGTTCTCTGTTCAGACTTCCCTGAGGAAGCCTTTAGGAAAACTAATTTTATTTAGGTTAACTGGAAGATGAGTTAAAAAAAAAAACAAAAAACTGCTTTTCCAACATTTAACTTTTGGGAATTGCACTTTCTTAAGATGGTCAGAAAGTTGTTGCAAGTCTGAGCCTAAAAGTTTTCTCCCCAATGAAAATTGGCTAATCTTGCTTGCTGTATGACAACAACTATTAACTTCTACAATTTAAAACATAGCATACTGTTACATAATACAATGCATGCAGCAGAATTCTGAAAAATAATTCAAGATTTAAATATGGTATTATACAATATATAGGTATACATTATTTAGTGTGTATCAATGTGAATAATACTTTCCCCACACCAAAATCTAAAGAAAAGACACTATCCCAAATTTTCCTCACATGGAGTGGTACATCATACACTTGATGATTTAATTTTCAATATATCATTTCTCTTTCTCCAGTAGATAAAAAAAAAAAAAAAAAAAAACACCTCAGCAACTATTTCTGGGATTCTTAAAGGAGTGGGAGGAGGACGGTGCCTGCTCCTACTCTTTCGGCATTGATTTTGCTCACAATCTGTGATATGGCTTCTCAGAAATGTTGTTTGGCAGTCTTGATACTTTCATGTGTTTTCAAACTTAAGCCACCCAGACTACACAGTTCACTATTTTCAGCTCCTTTCATTCTCCTTTTCCCTTTAATTATAGAAGTCTCTATCCCCTCTTTCTGCAAATGTGGTCAAGAAATATACTAAATGCTACTATCTGTTGAGAAAATACGCATTTTTCTCATGACGATGCATACATGTTCTTCCCAAATCAAGAAGCTGTGATTGATGATAACTGATAGGCAACACTTTCAGGGTAACAGCTTTTTGGACCCTCGTTCATTCCTTTGACTTTGAGAGACGCGGCACAAACTTGAGAGAGAAAAAGCAAGTGAACACTCTAATTTTAAACTTGCACCGTAAAGCACTTTCAAAATAGTAATGGTCGAGCCGCATCTCAGACCTGAGCCTCTTTCTCGGTCTGTTCCCGAGGTTCCCTCGAGCCTACTTTACGTCCTGGTCTGCGGGCGGTGTTTTTGGAAACTGCACCGCATAGTTTAGAGCGAAGCCGGAGTGGGGGGTGCGGGGGGTCCCTGCGCACACCCTGACTCGGGCCGGGACCCCCATTCCGGAGCTGTGCGCGGGGGGCGCGGGGACAGCCGTCCCCGTCCCTTCGCCCGGCCTCGCCGCAGAGCCCAGGTTGAAAGAAAACTTCACGCGGCCGAAATGAACCTCCCCTCACCGTTTCAGTCCTTCCTTCCCAGCCGGCAGAAAACGTGAGATTTATTAGGACACGGTAAAGAGAGGGGAGGGAGGGTCCCCGCGGCTCCCTGGGAGGCGGGTCACCTGGCCCCTCTGGGGGGCGGGGTCCGTGACCGGGGCCGCCGGGCGGGGGGCGACGCGGCCGGGCGCGCGGGTGGGCGCGAAATAGAGCGCGCGTCTCGGCGCCGCCGGGGCAGCACTTGTCCTGTAATCGATTGCCGAGCGCGCCGAGCGGCCGAGCGCGCAGCCACGCGCACACGCGCCCGCCAGCCCGCGCGCGCACGCTCCCACACACACACACGCACACACACACACAGGCGCTCAGGGCCCGCACACACGCACGCACGCGGGCGCGCACGCACGGCCGCCCGCCCCGCGCTCGGGGCCCCACATCCCGCCGCCACCGCCAGCCCGCCCTCCGCCCGCGGGCGTCTGCGCGAGCCCGGCCGGCGGGGGAGATGTGCTCCGGCTCCGCCGGATCGGTTTCTCGGGGTTTGACCAGCTGTCCCGGGCTAACCCTGCTCCTTGCTGAAGATGGAGGAAGTAAAAACAGGATTACCCTTAGCTACAGATCCACTGCCTTAGTTTCCACCACCTACTGCAGTGCACAAACACACGTTAGGCACAGGAAAGAAAGAAAGAGAGAGGACACATTAACAGTAAACACAAACAAAAGGGTGATGGGATTATTTTACTGCATGCACTGCTGAGGTAAATCTCCGCTTGGCTTTTGCGTGGTGAAGAACAGCTCTTGTTTTATTTGTCTTCTGATTCATAGATTATATATAAATATGTGTATGATTTGCAAAGGGGGGAGTGTTTTCAAAGTTAAGTGTAATTATATAGCATCTCGTTTTGCACTGTGATGTGATCAAATGACTTGTTGCTGTTAACCAGTGATAATAATATAGCTATTTTTCTCTGGGAGAGATGGATTGTGGTTATGATTAGGGAAATGATTTCTGTAAAGGACGCTCAGGGAATCGGGTTGAAGATGATGTCCTCTGCCTTAATTTATCGTCCCCTCCTTGTTATCTGTTTCTGGGATGTTAATCGATTAATCAGTTCTCATCTCTATAGCTGTCATGGATTTGGACTTGTTTTGCTTTGTTTTAACTTGAATTCCAAGAAGAAAGATTTGGTAGCGTGGAATAAATTCCAGCTGTCCAGATAGAAGGTAATATCCAGATCCTGTTGGAATTTAAAAAAAAAAAAAACTGGTATGACACATATAAAAAGGCAGCAGTTAAATCTCTTTGACAGGTTCAGTACGGGCTAAAGAGATGGAATTAAGATTTAATTTTTTTTTTTTCTTTTTTGCCAAGGGCCAGAAAACAGTCCTGTGAAGTTGGCCTAGGTTCCTTGCCGGGTTCTGCCTGACTGTCCCTCCCCTCTTACCCGCCCCCCCTTTTCTTTCAGTTTTCTTGTCTTAGCTTTTGGTCGATTCTTAAGGAACCGGTGGATCAAGTTTTTTCTCTTGTTAATCGCATTGCTGTAGCACTGACTGACCTCTCTCTCTCTCCTTTTTTTCCTCTTTCCTGAAAGTACGTGGTGCCATTCCTGAGTGACTTTTCCTACTAGACCATCCCAAAGGGACGAGGGGGAGGGGTGGAAGACGGAGGAGGAGGAGGAGGACGAGGAGGAGGAGAAGGGGGGTGTTCCTTCTCTACATTTCTTGGTTTTGTTTATCAGCCGATCTCTTTGCTGGATTTGGGCTTAGAATGACCCACCTGTAAAGTGCTTTTCCTTCCTCCTCGCCTTGAACTCTGCAGGGGGCTTGGCTTGGAGGGGGCAAGGGAGGGAAAGAGAGAAGGGGGAACACAAAAAACTTCTTTCTTTCTCCCTCCGTTTATCTTCAGCCCGACATTGTCACCTCCTCTTTGAGGGGTTAGAAGAAGCTGAGACCTCCCGACTGAGCTGGAAATGGTGATGAATCTTTTTTAATCAAAGGACAATTTCTTTTGTATGTACATTTCGTTTCTCTTTCTCCTTTTTCTTTTTCTATCTTTCTCTGAGGGTTAATAACCATTTCATTGATGGGGCAGACTTCTTTCGCTTCTCCCTGACGTTTCTTTCTAATGTGTGTGTGTTAAGTGTGTACATTTTTAAAGAGATAAACTCATTTGTGAAATATCCGAAGGAACTGCTCCCCTTTTAAACTTTACGGAACCCTTTCTTTAAAGCCTTATGTAATCATAATTTGAAAGAATTTGATAACAGTACAGCAGGTTGAAATTTAAGTGCTGTGTAGTGACTGAGTTGGGAATTTGATCTGATTATTCCATAAAGAAAGAAAGAAAGAAAAGTTTTTTGGGGGGGTAGGGAGGGTAGTGGTGAAGAAGGGGAGGGGAGGGAGAAGGGAAGTGGTTTTGGAGACAAGAAGTGAAGCTGCCTGTTTTCCAGTAAGTAATGGAGAAATTCCAGGAGCCAGGGCTAAATATACTTGGCGATCAATACAGAAATGGCTCATTGTGAATAATTTAGCTGCTGGTGCAGTGAGAGTTTTGAAACTAAAGGCAAAAAGGACCGAGGCCAAAGGAAAGTAAAAAAAAAAAAAAAGTAAAAATCTCCTCAGAACTTGTCAATTCTTAAACTTTTTCTTTCAAAAAGAATACAGTTAGATTATCGATCTTTTCATTATGTGAATCAAAGCTAGGGGGTGTCATTTCATACAATTTACTTTTGTTTCTGAGAATTAAGTTCTGTTTTGTGTCATTGGTGCATGAAATTAATTCCCCAAACTTAAAAAAAAAGTGATTCCCTCCTGCACAGCCGAAGTTTGTTTATGAAATTTTCAAAATCAGAATATATTATTAAGTAGGCAGGCATTTGTATCCAGCCATGGTCTGGCAGGAAATTAAGGTTACACCGAACAGGTGCTTACACAGGGCTTGGGTTAGGCGAAGATGTCAATACAAGTCAGGGAGTCGACCAATTGCTGCAGAAATCTTAGGAAAGATTTTTTGCAGAAAGTTTTTTGTTTTGTTTTGTTTTCTTATGTTTGTTTGTCCTCCCCCTCCCTATTAGAACATGATGAACCAACTTGCAACAATTGTGAATAGAGCTATCTGTATACTGGGGAAGTCCTCAAACTGCAGTGTGATTGTGGGAAGTAGTGAATGGTAAAATACTTAAATCCCAGTTAAAGCTGGCACATTTGATTTGTAGCCCCCTCCGCGCCCCCCCCCCCGCCCTTTGCTCTTTAAACTAAGTAAATTTTGATTAAGAGAGTCATTACTGTAGCCCATCTCACAGCACACTTATCTTTCGTATCCTATCTCCAGCAGGAATCAGATCATTTGCAGAAAGAGTTCAGTGGCTTGCAAATGAGCACATACAGTACACTGTAGTATGTTTCTTGGACACAGGTTGCAGCAGCAACATGGACTAGCTGCTTGGAGCTTCACATAAGTTAAGAATTTAATGGCAGATACTGAAAGGAATCATTGTGTTAAGGGCATAATCTTTTGTTTTGCAGCACTGCACTTTGACTATGGAAACAGAGGCTATTGATGGCTATATAACGTGTGAGTATTCATTTTCATTAATTTGTTATTAGTCATAAAGTTATCTTTGTATTACCTGTGTTTTAATTCCTGAATTATAAGACATTTGTTAAGAATTGGGTACTCTAATCTGCTTACAATTTCACCTTTAAATGAGTTTGAGAAAATAACAGCACAGAAGTGAAATAAGAAGGAAGTACAAAAATATACTTACTACTAAGTGAAGGATAATATTTAAATCAGTAGTAGCTTACTATTTGATTTTTTTTCATTGACTCTAAGTTTAGAAAAGGTCAAGTTACATATATGTCTACTAAATATGGTGTGTATGAAGTATTTACTACTCTTTAACCTATTTTTTCAGACATAATGTAAAAGAAAATTAACTTCCTGGAAGTTGACATTTTTTTTTTTTTTTTTAGGAAACTCTCTTTTAAGACATTTCTCTTATAGACCACTCCTGATAGCCATACCATTATAAATCCTATATGCTTAAAAATTAAATTAAATGTTAAAAGACTTTCTTTTTTTAAACTAAAAGATACTTTGGAAATCAGTTACTTCGTTTCCCCTTATTTTACACTTAAGACTATTAGGATAACAAAGTTTCATTTTTTTATTCTTGTGGGCTAATGTGACTTTTCATCATTTTATTCACTTACTATATATTTCTAAATGATATTTCCTTTCAGGGAAAAAATATGTTCTCTTACAATTTCAAGTCTATGCATGCCATTTCATGTATGAAGCAAAGTTAGTGGTTAGATTTTATATGACAAGAATAGAGACCAAAAGATTTTATTTTGTGAAAACAGGTGACAATGAGCTTTCACCTGAAAGGGAACACTCCAATATGGCAATTGACCTCACCTCAAGCACACCCAATGGACAGCATGCCTCACCAAGTCACATGACAAGCAGTAAGTCTTCGTTTTATGATTTTCTTTTTTCTATTTCTCTAGTGACAGACTTGAATTTGTTAGGTCTGTGGGGTCCGCTCACATTGTGGTGTAGCTCCTGCTATAGATTTTGTTAAAGAAAGAACAACACAGATTTATTCCTGTTCGTTCTAATATCATAAAACATGAGCCTGCTTACTAGTCTGAACTATCCCAAGGTGGCATTTGGGAGCTGGTGCTTACCTGTATCAGGTAAGAAAGGTTAGAATTTGCTGGTTACTGTTTTGACTTGCCAGGTTTATGACTAAATTTTTTGTTGTTGTTGGATTAAAAGTATGGAAATATCACTTTCAGAGGATGCTTCCCAGTGAAAAAATAAAATAATTTTATATTGCCTTGGTACAAAGCTAAACTGTCGGTGGGAGAATTGCAGTGTTACTTTTTTTTTTTTTTTTTTAAAACTTAAAGTTTCTCTACCAAATTGTTAGAAGTGTAATTGATAAAATATTCAACTCATTTACATCCATTCCTCTAAAGAAGTTGAAAGCACTTTGTTTGTTTTAGAATTTCCAGAGAAGAACTGAGAAAATTTAGAAGGCTGTTTTGAACTTGTAGGAATAGACAGCTTTTGCTACTGTTTTTGCTAAAGGGTCATTCATTGATTTGATATGGTACACATTGTTTTTGTGTAATAAAAAAGCACCTTGTATGCTGTCAGTGACAGAAGACAAAATAGTTTTATTTATTGAGAATATGTCAGGCTTTCTTTTAATTGTAATGTTTTATTAGTTTAGTTATCAAGTGCAAGTGCTTTATGAGTCTTACTCAAAAGTAATTTGAAATCTCGTTTCTCTTATAATTTTGAGATGTATTATATTCTTTTGTGGAAAGGACGTCTGATTTATATGTAACTATAATTTGATTTTTAAGTATTCTGTTTGAGTGATATGTGAAAGACAGACATTTTCTTTCCTTTTCTTCCCCCAAAGATTTAATAACTAAAGAAAAGGAAATCATCTACTTAATTATGAGCATATTTGAAAGTTAATTCTTATTATTCAGAGAAAACAAACTTTTTCTTTTCACATCTCTTGTAAAACTTAGGTTATTATAAATCTACAGACTTTGTTATTAATAAAGACTACTGAATTATAAGAAAAATGTATAGAATATCATTGAATATACTTTGTAGTTCATTAACTTTGTAATTTTGGCTGTTGACTTGAAGTTAAAATTGAACTGTTTGAATTTATTTATTTGATAATTTCTTTTTACTAATGGGGAGAACGTCCTAACAAAATTTCATTCTGGAAGGATTTCTTGAAATTTCTTTATCTTTTATAAAGGAAGACTAATAAAGTTAGGTAGTAAGTGAATACTAAATTATAGTGGTAATCTTTTATAGTGGATCTTTTGTATTAATTTAATTTTTTACTGGTTGATTTGATAAAAGTTATGCTACGACTGCAGTATGGGCAATAGAACTTTTACATTTCAACACTACTGTTACTCATTCTTTGGTAGAATATGTTTTTGTTTCTCAGATAACTTTCACATAATGTCCCGAAGAATAAAGATAGATTATATGCAGTTCCTGTTAGTTAAACAGTTAGCTTCTGGCTTTAGAAACAGTGAATATATGGGGTAGATAGTAACTGTTCACCGGAAATTTAACTGTCATCTTCTTGCTACCACCAGAACATGAGCACGAAAATGCTTGTTTACTGGTTAATTTGCTCCTTTATTTGTGAATTTGATTCTGATTTTTTAAGTACAGTACTTGTGTTCAAATAACAGTGTGGCGCGTAGGCATGATCAATTTGAACAAGTAAGAACTGTGCTCTTAACGTTGGAGCTTTTCTCACCCAACAATAGTAAACTTATGTTTGGTAAAGAGATTTTTTTTTTCCCCATTTACTAGCCTGTAGCAATTCCATGTTAGTACAGTTTTTGGCTAAGCTGCACGTGTTTTCAGGTTCTTTTCCAAAGAGTTGTAGGTTAAATATTTTGGCTCTCACTTCGGAGCTGTGTGTTGCATCCTTTACGTAGCCTCTATTTACAGTATCTAGGTTACCCACTTAGGTGTAGATGGAGAAGATACCCATTTTTCCTCTCTGTTAGATCTAAGAGAATATCAGCATTTTAGATTGCCAAAGCAAATAGTGGTAGAGAGGGACTCTTGTCTATTAATTAGAGCAAGAGACCTAGAATCAGCCGCTCAGAGATGTTTGTTGGTGACTTGAAATCATTTTTATGTTGTGTGGACTGTCAAATCATTCTGTCTGAGTTCACTTGTTTTCCTAAATCCCTTTACATGCATTGCTGACTTTGTCCAATGAAACTAACTTACCCTTTTTTTCTTGCTTTTTAAAATATCATCAAATATACTTCCTGGAGGGCTGCTGCTCCCCCAAACAATTGAAATTTTGATTGAAAGGCTTGAAGTTCAAAGTAAATGTGAAAACCTTCATGATAGAATAAGATAGCTTCCAGCAACTGGAAGGAGAGGATGGGAATATATGTGTAAGGGGGAAAAAGTTATTTTTAAGCACTTTAGAAAAAAAAAAAGTGAATCCTTTTGTTTTTATAAAATAGCTGACCTTATGACCATAAAAAGTATCAATGAAGTGTGATAGCCCACTTATTTTGGCTTTAGGAAAGTGGCCAGTACTACTGTAACGTCCTAGTCATTTGTTTAGGTTATTTGGTGACTATTCTAAGATGAAGGGTATCTGTAAAACTTGATGCCAGCTATTGTATAAAAAATAATGACAGCAGCTATCATTATTTGACAGTGCTAGAAGAGAGCACCGGCGACTTGGGAGAGATCTAAAAATGTTATAATGCCTGACAGTTTTTTGTTTTAAAATTCAGCATGTAAGATAATCTTCAAAAAAAGTAAGAGGCATTATATCCTAACATGTTATTATGACTGCTTCCTGTGTTTTAAAATGAATTATCTTAGAGAACTTTAATATTCTTTTTTTGTGGAATAAGGATCTCTTTGATAAGAAAATGGGCATTGTTGCCTGAGATCATTAGTGTACATATTGAGTCTGCTGACAATCTTCGGTGTCAGGGATGACAGTGTGTGCCTTGATGGCTACTGGAAATACACAGTGTTAAGTGATTTTAAAAATAGAATTTGGATGTTAAGAATCTGAGACAGACAACTCAGACAGAACAATATAAAAATAATTTACATTGTATTTCGGCCCATTAGATGAAACTTTGTGATTCCCACTGTTTCTGGGTTAGCTCATTTCCAATTCTTGCCTAGTTGCTTCAGTATCAGTTTCAAACTATTCTACACCTGCAGCTGACTGTATTGGAAAATTTTTAAGGTTCAAAAATTTGTAATTAATCCTATTTTTCTTATCTGTTTTTATAATGCCAGTAAGTAAATTTACATTTCAGATAGTTATGTAAATGGTGTGATAATATATCACGACACAAAATTTGTCTCTATTACTTTAAAACCCTTCAGTGGATCAACTGTGCTGTCAATACTATTTATCAGTCAGTTTGATATCCAGGTAGCATGGATGGAATTGGAAGAAGTTGTACATCTAGTTTTACAAGGCTCTGACTAATAACCAGGTCAGGGAATCTAGTTTATTCTTTTCAGAGTGCTTCACATTCATTTTTTTCTTAGCCAGTTTCCATTTTTAGAACCTAGTGAAGCAGAAGTATATTGTGATTTATACTTTTCATATGTGGAAATTGATTGACCTCTTGGGTTGCTTAGCAGAGAGGTGAACTTATCAGGATTGGGACATAAAACTGTGATATTACATTGTGGGTTAGTTGGATAACTGGTGTCTCTACAATGTCATCCTCTCAGAGTCTTGGCCATGTCCAATATTGACCCATGTTTTAGTGACAAAAATAGTATTACAGAAATAGAAAAGTGTTATTATGAGGGTGGAGTAGTATCAGATAATCTTGTCAAGTGTTGTGTTCCAGTACACTTTTTGAAATACAGCCTATAATGTGGGATTCAAGAGCTTTCTGAGTCGTCTTCCATAGCTTAGTTTGGCAGTCACCCTTGGTTGGATTTCCATAGGACACACCCAATATAACACAAGATAGGCTTGATGTAAAATCCTGCTCTGTTTTGAATCATAGTACTTAGGTGTGTACTTATGTACAAATGTAAGAGAGATATACATTGCACCTTATATTTAGTTCTTATTAGAAAAAAAATTTTAAGTTCTGATTTAATTTCCTTATTGTTATCAGAGGTATGTATTATGACTATGTACCAATTTTTTTTTTTAGGGCTGGGAAAAAGAAACTAGAAGAGATATATATTTTGCAATTAACAGCAAAAATGCTGGGGAGGGGTGTGTCTCATGTTTTCCCCAGTGTGCCCCCCCTAACTTTTTGGGCTGTTTTGTAGTTGAGATTTAAGCTCTTTGAAAAATAAAACAACTTGCTGGGTGCAGTGGCTCACACCTGTAATCCTAGAACTTTTGGAGGCTGAGGTGGGGGGATTGGTTGAGACCAGGAATCAGAGACCAGTTTGAACAAGAGCTAGACCCTGTCTCTACCAAAAATAGAAAATTTAGCTGGACGTGGTGTCATACCCCTATAGTTCCAGCTACTCAGGAGGCTGAGGCAAGACAGTTGCTGTCTTGCTTGAACCCAGGAGTTTGTGGTTGCAGTGAGCTACGTTCCACCTGTTATGAAGCCCTGTTCTAGCCCAGGCAACAGAGTGAGATGTTGTCTCAAAACAAACAAACAAACAAACAAATAAAAACAACTTACTGTAGAAAGACTATCTTTATTCCTTCTATCTTTGTCTAAATCTGTCTTTCCCACTGGAAGTACATTTTTCAAATGTAACAGCATTGATTATGTTCTCTTGGGAGTCTTCTTATAAGCCCTAATGAATTTAGATCTCTAGGTCCCATGCTCTTCCTAGTTTTTGATAAATTGATATAATTTGAATGTTAAAATGCTCATATATTTTGATTTTATGATATTCTGATATCATAGCAGGGTCACAGTCCTAAAAT